CAGACCCTTGTACAAAGTCAAAGAGCCCCAGAACAAAGTGATGTTCCTCTGCCTGAGCCCGAGTGCCTGTGGCAGCCCCAGAGTGGGGACCCTGTGTCACACACTCCAGCACTGCCAGCTCCAGCAGGGTTTGGCTTTCACCCTCTGCCAGATCCCACGGGCACAGCAGCAGCAAACAACGCAGCACAGGCCCCACATCCCCCATCTGCCGAGCCTTGGGCTGGCCCCATGGCCGGGATGAGAAATGAAACCGGATTTGAGTCACAGAGGGAAGGGGAAGGCAGCAAGCAGCACATTCCCACTGCCGGAGGAGCCAACATCCTCTGTGCATGTTTGTCCTGCAGCATCTGGCTCCCAGATGAATCCCAGATGCACGCATGGGAACCATCAGCCTCGTCTCACCCACATCAAAGAGGAAGGTTTAGCATAAAGCTGGTCATTGCCGATGGCCCCGGCGTGATTCATCCGCAGCAGAATGCGGTTTGGGTTTCGGCTTAATTAGCTGCAGATTGGGGAGGAGACAAGGCAGGGCGGGGATATCGGGGTGCGAGCGGCTCTGAAGGCACCGCCGGGGTGTCCTGAGGTCACACCCGGCCTGGAATCACAGCCTCGTGTGTCACACGGCAGCGACAGCGTCACCAGCGCCGCTCCAGGTGTCCGCAATGCCCAAGGAATGTCTGCCCTGCTGCTGTGCAAACACCGAGAGCAGCAACACCCACACACCTGGGAACAGGATGGCTGCAGCAGCACCGAGCTTCTAACACATGCAAATTCTGCCCGGCATTTAAACTTGCCTCTGCTGAGCTCTGGCTGCTGCAGCCGGGCAGCTCCCAGCGGGAATCGGTGCTGCAGGGATCCCTCCCGGCCGTGTTCACCCTGCATCTCCCTGATCCGGGCTCCTCTTGCCTTCCTGCAAACAATTCCTGCAAGTCTGACTGCACAAGGCACAGTGCAGCTCCTCTCAGCTTCTCTCCCAGACTCTCCGTCCCTGCTGTCCCCCGCAAAACCACTTCGATTCCACTTCTTGCTGCCAAAAAAGATTTAGAAATGGACATGGGGTGGCTGGCCTTGCTGTGGTGGCACAGACAGGAGGTCTGGGAGCGCAGAGGCAGTGACTGATCTCCAGCAGGCACTGTGGCTCAGCTCCCAGGAGCTCCACAGATGGAAGAAATATTTTCCTAAAAAGAGCACAAGCAAAAGCTTCTACACACACTCACTTTGAGACGTCATCCTCTCTCACATGACAGCTCCCATAAAGACCAAACTTTAAACACTGGTCTGTCTAGAAGTCGTTGATTATTTATGGATGTGGAAAAGAAGAAAAAAATTTTTTTTCCAGTGTGCGTCAGAACCCAGACGTCAGATGCACTTCAGAGGCTGATAAATGCTGGCTTGTTTTACTGACTGCTGCACACAAAGGCCCAGGGACCCCAAAGCTGCTTTGATAAGCCCCAAAGGCAGGGACAGGCAGATCAAACCCCCTGGCTCAGGGTTTTCCTAGCCCTGATTGCAGCAGGATTCCAATGGCAAACCCCTCCCTCCTCCCTGAGAGCACCAATCCAGGGGCCTGCTCTCCCACTGTCTCCCTGGTTTTACATCTGCTCTGCTCTCTAGAAACGATTGGAGGTTGCAGCTCTTGGGTTTGCTTGCCAGCTGCGCCAGCAGTGGGGATTTCAGCAGGAAATTTCAGCGCTGGGAAGAGCAGCCCCAGGCAGAGGCTCTGGGATGGTGCTGCCAAACTGGCACGGGCACTGGGGAGAAAGTTTCTATTTTTGTTCTCCTTGTTCCAAGTGGGAACCGATACTGCCTGGGACAGAGCCAGGCATGTTCTCAGGCTGGCACCATGCAAAGCACCTCCATGCTAATGTAAGCAACTTAACCAAGCTCTCTCTCTGTCTCACCAGCAGAGTTCAGATGTTTGGGAGCAGCTGATCTTTCCCTCAGGTGTTCACCTCACTGCCAAGGGCTGCAGCTATTTGTATTCTGCACTGAATATCTCCTGTGCTGTCCTCTCCTTTGGAAAAACGTCACAGTTTTGTTCCTGTGGCAAATGAGAAGCACGTGAGAAGTGGCAGCTGCTTGGATCTTCATTCAAACAGAAAACAATAATAAATAATTATACAGATATAAAGGCAGAGAGTTTTTAAATGTTCTTTTTTTTTATTGCTAGAAGTTGGTTTCAGTCCTATTGCAGCTCTGAAATCCTTCAGTGGAGAAACATTGCAGTCATTGTAAAAATCATCATTTGGTGTGCTAAGATCATGTTTACAATTAATCAAGAGTGCACAATTCAACAGAATATTAACATTTAACCATCAACTTTACAAATAAAATAAAGACTACAAAGATGTTGCTACTGCAGTATCAACAGTAAAGGAAATATTTACAATGTTTACACCCTAACGAAAAAACAAAACCAAACTCTTCCCCAACAAAATGGTCAATTTAACCATGGACCATGATTATTTACTAAATCTTTACAGTGCAAGGTGGGCCTAGAAACCAGACCTAAGACTAAAGAGTGTCAAGAGAGTTCACAGCTCTGAGTGAGATGCACGCAGTTATGCCAACAGGATCTACACCCATGAGAGATCTCCTTCCGGCTACAGACAGAAACGGAATTTGAAATCAACTTTTCTAAAGTGCTCCAATTTCTTTCAGTACAAAAATATAAAAAACTGATTTATAAACATGGCACAAATGTTATGAACCAGAGCTCACACGTGCTGTTTGAAGATGATGGAGGATGATGAAGTCGCCAGTGGTTACGAAGATGTTGGGTCTGGTCTCGAAGAGAGAGCAGGGGGAAGGCTTTGCTTTGCCTACAGCACTTGTGTAACCTGGCATGCAGATCTGTTTCCTGGTAAATGTGAGAACTGCTGGGGAAGACAACAAAATCTCCAAACTCCCTTGCATGGGGGGCACAACACACAGGGACTCCACTGAGCAGCACCGGGGAGCCTCGGCTCCCATTCCGCAGAGTTAGAAGTAAAATGCAAGAAGTATTTTTTAATCCTTTCCTAGTTTAAGTTTCGACTCTCATTGTAAATGCAAATGACAAACACCAAGCTCCATGTATGCAGAATCATCTGACCACTACTCAGAAAGACAAAACTGCCTGCAAATGATTTAGAATGACTCCTAGCTGTGCAGGAAGGCGAGTACCTGGGTGAGCAAGCGTCTCTAGAACACCAATTCTTCTGCCTCACGCTGGGGGATGAGCAGCGAGCTCAACTCGTGGGACATGCCACAGCCACAATCCACAGACAGCACAGATAAAAACCAGGGAAGCATCCACAACACACACAGGGCAGCTGTGCTCAGCACTAGTGGCCATGGAGGCATCCTCAGCCCGGAGCCACGTTCCAGATGGGAAGGGGAAGAGGAAGAGGAAGCCTCCTTAACACCAGAGTTCAAATTGAAATCAGAACCATAGAAACGGCCTCTACATTGCAACATCACAATATTGAAGGACAAACATGCTGATAAACTTTAAGGCTGGGACACCAAGCAAACAGGGCGGCAGTTCAAAGCTCGTGCTGGCACTTCCTCCACACCCCAGCTCAGAAAGAAGCCAAAAGGCACCTGGGAGGCACAGAATTTTGAACTGTCTAATCCTCAGAAATCACTTAAAAGGAAAGTTTTAGCTGAAGTGATCAAAAAGTCCAATAGGAAGGATGTAACTCAGAATCAATAGCAGGTTACTGAGCCCAGGACACAGCAGCACTTTGCAAACTAACTCACCTAGAAGAGTTCTTTTTCTAGGAGAAGATCTGAGTGAAGAGTCCAAAACCATTTCACTCAACTGGAGTGATCTGTTAACAATTTCACAGATTCAGTTTTGCACAAGTGAAGAGACCCATGATTCATTAAAAGAAAATAATTCACTTGCTTCCCTCAGCCTTGCATGGATCCCTGCCCACACTCTGGCAGCAATGAGGTATCACAGCACCTGCTGATTCCCAAACCTTCTCCAGGTGACAGAAGCCACCATCTCAGGGTGCAAACAGGTTTCACAAAGGAGCTGCAGCCAGACCTGTGCACTGAGGACAGAGAATGACTTCTAAGGTCCCATATTCCAAGGAGCTTTTGGAGTTTGAGCCTGGCCTGTCACAGGCCTGGGTCCATTTGTTAACAGCCAAAACTTATTTCAAGCACTGTTGACAAGAAGTATTCAAAAAGTTAATATTAAAGATAAACCATTAAAATAAATAGGACCTCACTGCAGACTTTATTTTGCACATGTCACTGTTCTATATTCAAATTTGTTCATTGCACAGAAGAAAAAAGCATCCAATGAACTTCTCCAGCCCTTCCAACACTCCCTCCCATACTTTTGGACAGGCACAAAATAAACCTAAATAAATGTTTCCAAAATTTGCTTCCAAGCACCCAAACTGACATCCCTTTTTGGCTGAGGTGATTTACTCCACTGATGCAACTTAGCTTTGGCCTAAAACTCCTGAAAACCTGGTAATTTAAGGCATGTTTAACCAAGGTAATTTAAGGCAAGTGGGGGCATTGAGTTTTCACTAGGAGTGGCCCAAACCACAGCATGAAGGAGAGAACATCCCTGTGAGCTTCCAGGGGAAATTACAGGGGGCCAGAGTCTGCACAATTAAATTACCCAGTGGAAAAATCAGTGCCAGTCCTACAGAGCTGCAGGATCCCACACTGCTGCATGGATCAGGAGTTACACTGATTTTAAGATTTCCCCTCCATTCCAAACTAGCTTTTGGGATGTAAAAACCGAATATGGAGTGGAACTCTGTTCTAATCATCAAACATAGGGTATCCCAAAACCACCAAACCACCAGTGGAGCAGTCCCACTCTGTTTCCTGCAGACAATCACTCCAGGTTCTGCTGATTTACCAAGCAGCCCTTTGGTATTAAAGCCAAATGTGTCCAATTTCACTTGTTGGGGGCTGGGGGAGGATCCCCCATCCTGTAATGCGCCATTCAGTTTGGACTTTCCTCTCACTGAACTCAGTGCCTCAGGTTTGCACCAGCACCACTCAGAAAAGAAAAAGAACCTTAAATCCAAGAACTGTTCCAGCAGGACTGCTTGTCCCTAAGACTTTATTCAGAATTTTGTAGCTTATCTTTCCCCTTTCTTCAATTTCTTGTCTGAAGGCAATTAGTCAAATTATCACCACTTGAAAATATAAACTGCTGCTGTTTTCTGCTGAAAATTGATAACGTTTCTTGCACTGCAACTACTGAAATAATTTTAAAACTCTCAAGCAAAGAGAAGTTATGGCCTTAAAGACATCATTAACATCACACAGGGCCTAATCACAGGGACTGGCAAACACCACTGGATCCACTGACATGACACTGCATGGAGAACTGACCAGACCTTCCACTCACTGCTGCTAAAATCACTTTAAATCAGTTAAAGGTATTTAAAAAAGCTATTATCAATCATGCCCTGAGAGGCATTAATACAAGATTTTAAGCTTTGAGATCCTGATTCCTTTAATTCTGTAACAATCTCTCCTGTGCATCAGTATCTGACCAGTCACACTCAACACACACCAGAACACACATCCTTGGGTGAGGGTGGGAAAAGAATCTGGGACACAGAGTGAAAAACACAACACAAACTGACTGTGCAAATTACTACAAAGGGAAATAATGCCTTTTTGAGCAGAACACTTAATGTCACCACCATTCCATGATCAAGAACTGACCCATTTCACAAGAGGTATCAAAGCTGGTTTAGCTGAAAGCAGCTAAACACAGGTTTAGCTGAGAGTATTTTTTATTATAATTATATTTAATTCTAAAACCAAACAGTTCTTATTCCCTTCATTCCTAACATGATGCTGCAGAGAAGCCTCTGCAGCAACAGCAGCTTTGATATCTTCTGGTACTGGGAGTAAAGTCCCAACAAATTAACAGACAAACAAAGGATGCAGAAAACAGGAATAAACAAGACAATAAATTACTGCATTTGAACACTTCTTAGACATGTCTTCAGCAAAGAACAGAATCCAAGTCTCTAAGTTCATTCTGAACCAACTCAGGAGTTTGCCTGGGAACCTGTTCTGCTGTCCCCAACAGGGAGACAGATCCCAGTGATGCTGGTGGCCAATGAAATGTGCATTCAGTCCAACTCTTCATCCTCACTGTGAATTCTCACACGTCCAACCCTTCTCCTCCACAAACAGGTGGAGCTCCTGCCCCTTGAGGATGCTGTCAGAAGCTCACCTTACCTTCTCTTCCACTGTCCCTGGCCACAGGGCTTGTACCACTGGGTTCACAGGGCCTGGCACACCTGGCAGGGAGGGGACTGGCTTGCTGTCACCTGCTTACCAACACACAACCCATTACTGACCTGGACCTGGGAAAACAGATTTAAAAATTTGCAGCCATTTTGGGGCCTACTACTAAAACTTTTTTACATAAAAATCTGGGTGGTTCAACATCACCGATAGCAATTTACAAGATGGTGCCCATGAGCAGTTACATTCTCCAAAAAAGAGCACATTACAATAAATGTCAGAATTTTAACATGCTCTGAATTGATATAGCCATGCCATGTGTCAACACACTGGAGAATTTTAAAGCAAATTGTTACTACTGTGCCCTCAAAGCAGGACAGGAATCCTGGTCTGGTCCTTGCTTGTAGTAACTGGGCAGGGATCAGAAGACATCCATCCATGTGGGGTCTCCACCACCGTGCACACTGGGGCCTGAGTTCTTGAACCAGTGTGGCAGGTGATTCGTCTTCAAATGCAAACAATTAGAAGAAAATGACATCTTCTTTGCTGGTATCATCTTGCACATTCAACAGATTGGGCTGAGAGGGCACCAGGGGCTGAACCTGAACGTTGTTGGGCTTGAAGAGGGTCGCTGAGGCAGATGAAAGTGCTTCTGGCTGAGCATCTGTAGGGCCATACAGTTCTAGAGGGGAAAAAATGGAAGAAGACACATTCATGACACTGCAGAGAGAGCCTGAGGCACTTCCAGGCACAGGCAGGTTGGCCAAGGCATACCTGGCTGGAATGCAGAGCTCTGGCTGCTTGGGAGGGATGGGCTCGCTGACCTCCTGCCTCTCAGCACAGCCTCCTCTCGTCCTGCAAGCCTGGGGGGAAGCAGCTGCTTCTGATCAACAGAGGCTGAAGAAAACATTTCATAAATTAGTATTAGAGACAAGCAGCACTTCACAAATGTCACTGCTTCATGCTGGGGCCACTGTACTGACACCTTTACACACTAAGAAAGCTGCAAAACAACAAAGAGCTGGTCCAACTGAAATTTTCTCTTCAACTGTTTAAACTATGAATACTTTTCCTTGATACTTCTGGTTCAGTTACTGACAATCTCAGATTTAAAACCCAGTATCACCAAGCACAGCAGAGAGAGAAAAAAACCTTTGTCTGTAGAATTCAAAGAGCAAATGGCCACTTGTGCTACTTCTAACACGCAGAGCTGTGACGAACTTTTGTCTCTGCTCTCCATCTGTCTCACAGCTGCTCAGCAGCACAGCCCACTGATTCTGGTGTTACAGCCTCCCAGATTCTCAGTTTCAACAATGAAAGCAGTTCATGAAATAGCTATTCTGGATCTAAAGAACTTCTCTCTTTCAGTACACATTCCTTACATGTCACAAAACCCAAATTCAATACACAGAATTTTTGCCTCTGGTACAGAAAGTTTTGTTCCATTTTATTCTAAGACCAACACATGGGCATAACAAGCATGAAGCCCACTAATGCTCACAAGAGAATAGAGACCAATATATTAGTGGTTTATACCTTTCATATAAATTACAGAAAAACACCATTAAGTCCATTTCCAGTGCAGATACCATTATGTAAGAGCTATTAGAAATAAACTGGGGAGATGTGGCATTAGAACTTTATATTACCAGCATCTGGTATGCAGGGTAAGAGGATACAGGCTTCATTTATGTGCAAAACCATAAGCAAGTTTGCAAAAGCACTAAACTTCATGCACGACAGAGACAGATGTTTCTGCAATGTGCCAAACCCACTCTCCCTGATCTCTGTCAGGTTTGGCCTGAGTCCTCTGTGGCAGTGCAGAGTGATGGACAAGCTTGCCAATGCTGAATCCAGCACAATGCTAAAAAGAGAATTTTGTAACTTAAAATTACAGGCCATTCCCCTAAGCTGGCAGTGGGGCTACTTTAAGTGGGAGAGATAAAAGTGTTTTTAGTGTGTCTGTCATTGGCAAAGATCACTACTCCAGTACCCAGCAGTTAGAAGCAGAAATTACACCAGGACAGGGTGACTGCATTTTTACTTGCTTCTATTTGTGACAAAATTAGCCCCTTTCAACTCTACAACACACACAGCATCTCAGTTGTGGCCTGGAGATCTGTATTTAATGACTGACTGGTGCTAAGAAAAGCACTGCATTCAATGTCACTACAACTCTGGACAGACTGCAAGAAAAGGCTAAGCCAGCCTCAAAACATTTCACTCAAGCACAACAGCTTCCTATTTATTATTGGGTTTTTTTGGTTTTGCTCTTTTTCTTTAACTCTACAGTTAGACAAGAAGATTTTGCATCCAGGTTTAGAACCTCTCACCACCATTCTGTTGTGCTGGAATACACAGCTCTGTTTTCAGCATTATCTCTTTGGGTTGTATTTCCAATTCAGATAATATAGACATGGGACTGCTAACAGGATTTTAGGAGTTTAAGAGATTTTAACTGCAGCAGACACACTAATAACTTGTAGCATATTAATTTCTGGGTTTCATACAGAGGTTTAGCTGCAGGGTTCTGTCTCCTTGTGATCCTGATGTAGATCAGAAACATTTAAATGGACTTAAAACCACACATACCTGAACTGTCTGTCCTATGAGATGCTTTGCTCTTGCCACCTTTCTCCTTGCTTCCTTTTGTGAAGGTGGCCAGCTTGGTGGGGATCTGCTGCTGGACTGCAGCTGGTTTCTGGATCTGGTTGGTTGCACTCAGGAGATGGATTGGCACTTCGTTCTTGAGGGAGGGCCGGGTCTCCAGGGTGGTGCTGTCCCTGCGCGCCAGCTCCGGCCGCTCCAGGAACTCCAGCCCGGCCACTGAGCTCACCCTCACTGAGGCTTTGGAGCCAGCTGCAGAGGGTTCCACCCCTTCTCCATTGAAGCTGATGGAGTGACTGATCATCTGGCTCTGCAAGAGGAGAAAAGGCATTCTGAGGCAAACGGGGATTTTCAGCCTCTTCAGTGCAAAGAGAGACCATCCCCAGCCCTGAGCAACACTTCCCAGTGCAGAGCTGAACAGACAAAGCCTAAAGATTCTTGGGGAACAGGAAGAAGAGCAAGATGTCTTTGGACACTGAAAAGAACATCAGTAGCTCCAAACTGCTTAAGACTGCACCTAGGAAAGTGCAGACCTGCACAAGGATAGACCATCTCCAGCCCCAAGAGTACAAAACACTTCCTAGTGCAGAGAAGAACAGGGCAGACAAAGCCTAAAGGTTTCTGGGGAACAGAAAGAAGAGCAAGGTGTAAGTCCTTGGAGAATGAAAAGAACATCAGCAGTTCCAAACTGCTATAGATTGCACGTAGGAAAGAGCAGAGCTGCACAAGGAGAGACCATCCCCAGCCCCAAGGGCACGAAGCACTTCCTAATGCAGAGCAGAACAGACAAAGCCTAAAGGCTCCTGGGGAACAAAAAGAAGAGCAAGGTGTAAGTCCTTGGACACTGAAAAGAACATCAGCAGCTCCAAACTGCTCAACAGTGCACCTAGGAAAGAGCAGACTGCACAGGGTGATGACAGAGCAGAGAGAAAGCAGAACTTTCAGAAAGTTTCAATGAATTAATTTAATCAGACCTCCAAATTTCTGTTCAAAACACAAGAAATATTTTTAGAAATCAACTGTACAAAATGCGGTTGACGTAGCACAGCTTCTGCAATCATTTGACTACAAGTTCCTGAATTTGAGAACTATTCAGTCAGCCACAATTGAAAATAATTTATTGTCCATTTCTATCTTTTTAAAATATATTCTCATTGCCAGACATCTGGTGGAACTTCATGAACACTGGTCTCTCTGAGAGTAGCCATCACCAGCTACTTCAGGTGATGGTTTGAGTAGCCCAGCAAAAGGCAAGAACAGGCTGGTGCTGCAGCAAGTGCAAAACCTTCATCCAGAAACAAGCAGGTTAACAGGAATAAAACTGAGGAAACCAACCCCTCACCTGGCCCATTTCTGGGGAGAAGGTGCCCGACACAGTGTTCTGCTTCTTCAGCTTCTTTTGCTGATCCAGGCGCTCCCTCTCCTTCTCCACAGCTCTCTGGGCCTCCCTCAGCCTCTCCAGGTCGTGCTGGTAGGCCTCCCTCTGCCTCTCCAGCTCTTCCCTGTCCTGGCTCAGCCTCTCCCGCAGCTGCCGCATCTCCTCGGCGCGCTCCTGCAGCTGCGCTTCCTTCAGCTCAAATTCCCTCTGCTGCCGGCTCTTCTCCCGCTCCAGGCGCTGCTGCTCCAGCTTCAGCTGGCTCTGGAGCTTCTGGACGTTCATCAGTTCTTCCCTCTGCTTTTCAAAGTTCCTCTGCTTCTCCTGCTCCAGCAGCAGGTTGCCCCGCGTGGACTGCAGCCGGTACTGCTTCTCCCGGTCGGCCATGGTGGCTCGCTGCACCTCGATGTAGCTGTCCTGCTGAGATATCACAGCCTGCAGGAGAGAAAAGTGCAGCTTCAGGTTCAAAAAACATGCACAGCTAAGCAGGAGACAACAGCATCTAGCAGCTGAGTCTTTTTCTCCCAGAGCATATCTTAATTCCAGCTTGTACAACCCATGGTGATTGACACGATATTGAAGATGGCCAAGCAAATAAATTATGCTTATTTATGTCAAACTGAACATTCCTTGCACCTAGAATTCTTACGCTGAATCAAAATCTGAGTCAAAATATTGCTGATTACAAGGCAATATACAAGGCAAGGTAACATTAAAACGACTAATTCATACACACTTGTATGAACAATGAGCACAGAGAGCAGACAAAGCTCAAAGCAGGAAAAGAATTAAGTGAGCAGGAAAAAGGAAATAATTACTTAAGACAACAGCTCTAACACTTCCTCCAAAATACCAGGCACAGTTTCCTTGAGTCTCAGGAGTAAATTCTACACTTCACTCCAGCTTTAGGGGATATTTTCAAGGTAGCTCCTCTCCACACCTGCATAAATTTTATTACATTTAGTGCCTAACAAATCTCTTGGATAGTAAATAGTGGTTTACCTGAAGACTGAAGAGCAACTGCAACAGTGTCTGTATCCTATGGACAAGCTGAAGAGGAGAAAAAAAACATTAGGCACTTGAGCAGAACTCTCTTTTGAGGCTTTAGACTTTTAAAAAACTTTTTAGCAGTGAAAACAATCCACGGTATCTATACAAAAAGACGCACAATGGAAGCATGGCCACCAGAGTACTCTAGCATAGCAAGAGCTAATATGCAGGCACAAGGAATTTCAGTTTATTATCCTTGTGCAGATGTGAATCAGTGCTCAGCAAATCTCCCTGAGATTCCACAGAGACATCTTCATTATCTTCTCTTCACCTGAACTGTTTAACCATCACTTCCTCCTGTGCCCCAGCACTGAATCACTGCACAGGTACAAACCTCACAGGGATTCAGAGGCAAGTTTGGCCAGTGAGCTGTTAACGTGCTGGGTTCCACAGACATTACAAACACTGAGTTTTGGAGGGGGTTTGGTTTGATTTTACATGCTATTATTAGACTATGGCTATTTGCCATTGGATTTCTTCACAGCAAAAATAACATACCTGAGACTCTACGGTGGGCTGAGCACCACTGCTGTCATCCAGCCTTGTCCCATCACTCTGTAAGGGAAACAAAAGCAACATTTGTGCTAGGGACATGTGCTGTGCACTGGCAGTGCTGCCAGAAAGGGCTGGGATTGCCGGGACAATCATCAAAAATACTGAGTTCATAAGCCAAGCTGAAACAGCAGTGTGGTGATTAAAGTTGTGTTAATGGGACAGCATCAAATGAGCAAATGGAAAACTGAATTATCTTGCATCACAAGTGCTGAGCTACCAAGTTGCCCCATAAAACATCCTTAAAGAGTCAAGTAATTTTACAGACAAAGCTGCTCCAGTCCAGCCCTGCCAGCTATGACAACTTTAACTTTGTGAGATTTGTTCTGCACCACTATCATGATGACAAACACAATGAAAAGCATTTAAATAAATCCCTCATAAGCTCAACATACAGTTTGAGATCCTTCTTCTGCATCAGAAGAGGGGTCATGGAGTTGCACATCTGAAGTCAGTGCAGGGCCCCTCCAGTCCCACTGTCTCTGGTCACCTCCACTGCTCTTCCTGCCACCTGAAAGAGGAGAGGAGTATGAGGAGCTCACACCAGCACAAGGCCTGGGATAACTCAGGGAGTGCCAGAACAGAAAAACATGGTGACTTTGAACCAAAATGCAACTGCATGGCTTCTCCATGCTGATCCCAAGTGGAAGATCAGGCTACACTGACAGACAGGACTGCTCAAAAAAGTTTAAAAAACTTGAGAAGACTGGGTTAAGATAAATAGGGAGGGTAAGTTCAAATTACCTTACACTATTTTAAGTGAAGCAACCACAATGTCTGCATGAAAATAATCAGCTCCCAGAATTGCAAGTTCATGACATGGAATACTGGTCAGCAGGAATATTGCAGTCACTGCAGCACCACTGTGAGTGTGGAAGGAGGCAAGGAGAGATAGACCCTCTCTTGTAAAAAGTACATGACAGCTGTATGGAGCCTTCCAGAGAATCAGAATGTACTCTAGAGATTAACAACCAGTGAAATAAGGGCCATTCACTTTTTCAATTAATGCATGAAGCAAAAATGGACATATATAGTAGCTGGTCTTTCCTCTTATTTCATTAATTAACTGATAAATCATCTGTGTCCAAAGAACAATGTATATTATTAAGGATTCAGCAAACCTCTAGTGACTGTGCAGATACAAAGTGGGAAAAAGTGTTGATGACATAATGAAAACAGACAGCTGAATTCAAATTTTCTAGGTTTTCAGGCCAGGCTTATTTTTTTTTAAACAAAATTAAAGTTCTGTGTGGAATTGTGGTAATTATAAAGAATGGGTTACAGTAACACCCTTAGCATAACACTGAGAGCCCTACTCTGCTCTCTAGTGTTGGGATCAGGAGCAAAACATGCTGGAGATTTGCTCTGATCTTCCTTTTTAGAGCCTGCTGAAGTTTCCTTACATGAGAGCCTCAATTCCTTCTTCTTATTCTCTGTACAGTAATCACAGTAAAAAGATCAGAAAAATTCTGAGTGCTCCCTTTCTTACTTTTACTTGAAATTGAGGGACTACTGTCATATCCTCCAAAGGTCTCTGCTCTCCGGGGGAGTCCTGAGCCATCCTCAGGCTGACAGGATGCACTGCCAAAGTGAGTGAAGATAAACTCCTGGAGATTCTCAGCTGGGGAAGAGGAGAACATGTCATGTAAACAGCCATGTCTATGCAGCAACACAAGTTATCATGCTAATGTAAGTTCAGGCAGTCTGAGATATCCTCCAGTACTGATGAATTCTCCTTTGTGAGTAGCTCTGCATGACAGGCTCTTCATATGAACATGAGCTCTTCCTTAATTGCAAGGATTAAGATCCTTGTTAAGATTATCAAGTTTTGAGTGTTTGTTTTTTCTTTCCTTTTTTAAAACAGAAACTATCTTTGGGCTTATTTTCTTTGTAAACACACTATCTTTAGACAGGCTGTTTTTAATAGATAACCCTGCTATAATATTACATTTCAGGACTGTGTGCTATTAGAGCACTCTGCTACCCTTTCTGAACAGACTTGTCCTAAGATTCCATTGGTTGACCCTTGTCACAGACATCTTTTATGAAAAATCCTTTCTTTAGGATTTTTCCTCCTGAGAAGCTGGGAGGCCTCAGGAACAAAATGTAAACATTGATTATCTGCTGCTGTGGAATGCAACAGGTGCATCAGGGATTGGCTCAAGTGGTTGTTTGTAATTAATGGCCAATCACAGTCAGCTGGCTTGGACTCTCTGTCTGAGACAGAAGCTTTTGTTATCATTCTTTCTTTCTCTATTCTTATCTAGCTTTCTGATGAAATCCTTTCTTCTATTCTTTTAGTAGAGTTTTAATGTAATATATATCATAAAATAATAAATCAAGCCTTCTGAAACATGGAGTCAGATCCTCATCTCTTCCCTCATCCTAAGACCCCTGTGAACACCGTCACAGACCCTCAAAAATAAAACAATCCAAGCTGTGCAGGTTTTCTACCTAAAGCCAAAAATGCACTTCACCTTTCCTGCAGGTTGGTTCTGAGAATGAGGAAGTCTGAACCGTGTTACATAAAAGCATTATGTTATTACAGGATGATTTTCAGGGCCTGTACTTAGATCCTGGGTGCTTATCCCCACCCCAGCACCTGAGTGAATGCCCACACATTCCCACATTCCATTCACCTTCAGTCACTGCAGACTTCAGAATTGCCTCTCCTTGCAGATTCTCTGAGATATCCCCCCGAAGGAGCAGCCTGGCTCGGGATCCTTGGGAATGGTCTTCAAAGCCATTCACCTCAGACATTTCCAGATAAATCTGTTGTTTCTCAGTGAGACTCTGCAGAATCAGGTCATCTTTCATGTTCAAACGCTCTGAAGGAAGAAACAAATTCAGTCCTGCCTTTCTTGTCACTGTCACAGGACTGTGCTCAATTTGGGAGATTATCTTTGATTTTATGGCCAGAGCATCAAACACAGAGATGTAATTAATAGTTAAGGAGAAAACTTATGGAGCAGACAAAGCTTATTAGACTTCCTTAGTCACTATTTCTACAGAATCTTACACCACCTTGAAAGACATATGAAGGAGAAACTTGATCTTGATAAAGAATTAGACAGCCATAAATCACAAATAATGCTGAGAAGCAGCTTGTAGAATATGTAACTAAGTCATTACCTTGAAAATCTTTTAACTTTGCAGCTCTTGCTTCAGCCAGCCTTCTCTCTGCCTCAGGTTCATTAAATGAACCTCCTTCTTCATCAGGACAGCTGTCCAAAGGGAAAGACAGATGTATGTTGGATTTGCATGTGAGATAATTTAAAACCATCTGAGGATTCAACTTGAAGCTTTTGCCTCAGTTGTGGTTTATCCTGGTTGCCAAACTCCCTCCCTTTTCCAAAGCCCTGTTGTATTTGACATCAGTGAGTGATAAAGTCTTTGAGAAGTTTTTATTTCGTCTTTACCAGTGATTGCTTCTCAATGAACACAAACAGAATTGCACACAGGAAGGAAGTTTGTGGAGAGTTAAATGGATTTTAAAGATAAATTTACACCTGTGAGTAGAAGACAAGCAAGAAATCAGGCTCCTGTTTTCCCCCTCCCTTACCTCTCCACAGCCCTGCGGATGTGTGCCATCCAGGAATTCCTCTCCTCTTTGGAGCTGGTGTGAATTTCATACATTTCTGGTCCTTTTAAGGAAGCACTAATTAAGAACATTGCCTTTTCCTCATTAGCTACCTCTCTCACAATCAATTTTTGCAGTGAGATAACTGGTGGCTTAGAGTCCTGTAAAATAAAACACAGTACATTAGATGTGTTCTTTAGGAATTGTGTTTCCTTCCTGTTTATCCAGAGCCACCAGGAGCTGTAACATCATGAAATAACTCTGACTTTTTCACATGACACTCCTGATGTTGTCATTTGATCAATGAAAACATGGAATGAATAATATGCATGTCAGAAACAAGAGGTCTTGATTCCAGATTGAACATCAAAGCCTGTGTCAATTTAAAGATTCCCACTGAGTCCCAGGAGTCAAGAACAGGCTCAAAAAATTTTGCTCAAAAGGAGGCAAACCCAAAATTTGAAAAAGAAAACAAAAACCTTAATGACACGTTGTGAATTGAAAGGAGAGAAGTGTTAGAGGTTTTAAAAGAAATAAACCAGAGGTGTTAGAGGGTGTCAGGCCCTGATAAAAATGACACCAGGTGACAGGTAGTGTATTGTATAATGAGGATTAACTGGATTAGCTGTCAGCCTTCGCAGTCAAAACACATTTACAGGAGGGATATTAGTTACTAAAAACCTGTCTAGGCTTCCTGCAGCAGAGCTCCAACATATGCAGCCTAGAAAGTTCCTTCCCAGGATAAAGCAGCTCTTTGTGATTGCTGAGCCTTCACAGAATAATCTAGAGCCACGATAAGAGAACTGAAGTGTGAAGCAAACACCAGGAACAGCAGCTTCTGCCAGCTTCTCTGAGCAGCTGTACTGCAATTCCAGCCACAAACAGAGGTCACTGGAAAAACAGAATCACTGAGCAGATCCATTTGCTCCCTCTCACTTGATTTATTTATGGAGAACTGATATTAAATTTCAAATGAACTGTATATATACAGAGATGCAAAAAAATTAGTCAGACTCTAAGTGTAGAGCACGTTTCCAGAAGGAAAAAAAAAATCCATCACACAGCACCCTGTTCTGTGCATTAGGAGAAGGGTAATTGAAAAGCAGTTGTTTGTACAGCCCTGAGGTCACCAAAATAGCTTTTGCCATTAGAATTCAGCTCTAATGTTAATGTCTTGAAAAAAAAATACATCTAAGAAAACAATTACATAAAAGAATTTCTCTGTTACAGGTTCTACAACAGCCATCAGTGAACTAGATCAGGACAAAATGTACAAATTAACTTCTCTCAGGACACCTGTGGAAATGCCCTGGAAAAGTGAATTCACTGAATGTTCTGGAGCCTGCAGTAATAATATCTGCATTCAGTGCTTATTCCATGTCTTTCAGGAAAGTTCTCTGCCCCTAGTAAATCTCAGGGCACTGTGACCACAGTTACCATGTCCCTAACTGAGATTCCTTCCCTGCACACTGAACAGAAGCAGGATTGATCTGCAAGTTTTTCAAAGCACAGTTCTAGCACTTGCAACATCCATGACTTGTGCACAAAATCCCAGCCTAAAAAAGTTCAGTGAAAGGGAAAGTCAGAGCACAAGAAGAGGAACAGTGAAAACCATGGCAGATGTGGCAGCTACAACTGGCCAAAGCAAGGAAATACTGGTTTGCACTGGGAGAGGGGGGAAAGGATTCAATAAGTATCAGAACTGCTTCAGAAAAAATGATTCCATAATACTTGGCTGGTTTATTCATTTAATTTTCTTCCTGAATCTCCTATAACAAGTATCTAACATCCCTAACTGTGTTTCTTCTGTAGTTATTGTCACTTTCATAAATCCTCCAAGTGCATGTATTAAATAAACAGAACAATACCTACCACAGATGCAAATGTGTATTTTTGGTCCTTTTCTTGTAAGAGCAACAGTACATCAGTGAGCAGGACTGCCAGAATATCTACAATAATAAAAGAGACAAAAAAAGGAAAGAAAGTGATATTTCAAAGCAGAAAGACCAGTCCAGACTCAAAAATCACTTAATTTATATTTCCTGCAGGCCAGGGAATAGCATGTCACGTTTTCAATACTGGGTCTGTTACTGCCTTCCAGTTGGGCTGGCCCCAGTCAGGCTGAACCATGCAGCAGCAGCAGCAGCTGATTTAAACAGAGCCCATTTAAAGCTTGAGAACACCCACACACACATCCTACACATGGACTCCAGCACTCCAGAGGGAACACATCTCTCCAAACAGCAGATTCTTCTGGAACTGCAGCCATTTAGGGTCCCACCTACTCCTGGCTGCACTCACTGTGCCACTGAAGCTTCTCCTTGAACACTTGAGCAATGAAGCTGCTCAAATATTCCCTGATGGCCACTGCTTTGATTTTCTGGCAAATGCAGAATTAAGTGTCATGCAGCTGACATGACACAGGTTTTGCAAAGTGTGAAGCAGAGATAATGCCTTTCCACAGGAGACTAAGTCAGGATGACTCAAAGCTTTGTCATCCATCTGAAGACTTCCCTCTTGAATTGGGAAGCAGACCAGCCAGATAATAAGCAAGCAGCATAAGGAACTTATCATGCACCATTACAGAGATGCTTATTGGACAAGCCAAGAATAGAACAAGTGCTATTTCCTCCAATATCCTATTAAACAAGCAGGTTATTGTCATCTTATTTTATACCCAATCGATCAGTAATAAACAGTTACTAAAAAAAACCACCCCAACATAAATCTTGTTTCCCAGTTGTGTTTGTGCCCTTGCTGGTGCTGTACCTTTGAGCCTCCCTGATGCAGCTTTCCAGTACAGCATCCCATCCAGGAGGAGCCTCCTCTGGCCCATGTCATCCTTCCTGAACAAAAGCCCATTCTTGCATTTCCCAGATGATTTCAGCTCCATTTTGTGCATGATCTCCTTGAGTCGCTGCCCCTTCTCACACTCGTTTACCATGGCATCTACATGGCTGATGGTGTCCTTAATCAAACCAAGGGCCTGGGTCAGGTCTTCATAATCTCTAGTTCCAGCTAAGGGAAAAGAGAAGCCACATTTTCAACTCTGGAATACAAGACACGAGCCATCCAAGTGTATTTTAGCATAAGGGTTTCATACTGGACAGCTAACAGTATTTTCTAAGAAAAAAAAAATTAAAAATTATTATTTTATTATAAAATTTCATTTTATTTTATTAAAATTTTTATTTATTTAAAAATAAAATGTAATAACCTAAAGCTCTGAAAAGCTAATGAACCAATAGGTTTAACTATTGTGGGTTAAACCTGTTGTTCCACTACTATCTGTGGCTGCAAACTTTAAATGCTTCTCTTCTCCTCTGAGGAGAGGCTGGGAGAATTGGGATTGTTCAGCCTGGAGAAGAGAAATTTCAGAGTGATCTAAGTGTGGCCTGAAGGGAGCTGAAGGAAAGATGGAGAGAGACTATTTAACAAGGGCCTGGAGTGACAGGACAAGTGGGGTTGGCTTTAAGCTGATAAAGGGCAGGGTTAGATGGGATATTGGGAAGAAATTCCCCACTGTGAGGGTGGGGAGGCCCTGGCACAGGGTGCCCAGAGAAGCTGTGGCAGGTTATTGTCATCTTATTTTATTTTTGAAGTGTTCAAGGCCAGGCTGGATGGGGCTTAGAGCAACCTGGGGTAGCGACAGGTGTCCCTGCCATGGCAGGGGATAGAATGAGATGAACTTCAAGGTCCAACCCAAACCATTCTGTGATTCTCCTGACCCTCTGAGGTGAGAATGATCTGGCATCATCAGCCAACAGAGAAGTGAGCAAGCAGGTGACAGCCTGTCTGAGGTAAGAACATGCAAAACATGGCAGAAAAAGGACCAAGAGACAACTGTGAGCCTTGCAGGAGCCATCCCACCTTCTGTGTTCTGGATGATCCTCTCCAGCAGCACTGGGTACTTGGTGATGCGCTGGGTGACCAGGAGGATGCACTCCTGAACTCCCAACCTCCTCACAATAGAGCAGTTCCCAATTTTCTAGAAAACAAGAGAAACTTGTCACACCCACTGTGCATGGAGCTCTTCTAACTCCCTCTCCATTCTCATGCCTTCTGCCCCAAAACACTTCTGCTCATTAGACACAGCAGCATGAAATTAGCTGCACTCTTCTACTAATCCTGATAACATTCCAAAAATTGCCTTTATTATTGGAAAATATCTCAGGTACTGTTTTCAACTCCTGTTAACTAAATGTGGAGTCAATTAGGGAAACTCCCAAATCTGAACTGTCAGCTTGTTGCTAACTGATCACACTTTGTAACAGGGTCAGACCTTAAATACATAGAAAAGTTCTGTGGTTTTAAAATCAGACCTAACCACCTACCAGTCAAATTAGATCAATAATGAAGGAATTAAGTGTTTATTTTACCACTGTATGCTCCCCAACAGCCTGACCTACAGAAACACATTCCTGATGAGAAAGGGAGGACTGTAAAGCCCCAGTTAATCTGACTGCAGGTACAGCACACACCTGGCAGCAGGAGAACACAGCACCAAGATCTTTCTCTACAAGGATTGAAGCTAAATGTTTTAAAACTCTGCTCACTTATTTAGCTCCTTGGAAGTGAAGGGCTCTCACTTTAAAGGCTAAGGCGAGCTGTAAGTACAGAGCTAAGCTGGAAAGTTCACACAGTATCACTTACTGGTGACTGGAAAATGAGAATATTTAGGCCTCTGCAAAGCCACCTGAGATTCAGGTTACAGCTTCCATTAGGGCTGTGTCTCTTCAGCCTTTCCTATTACCTGCACATCAGAGTGTGCAGCAAACCACCCTGGAGTGAATCTTCTGCCTTTGGAGAGATGATGGTGTCAGCAAAACCCGACTAAGAGTCTCTGCTTTTTCTACAGCAGCTCATCAACAGCATTTATCATTGATTTAATTTATTAACAAACCAATTTAACCTGATGGCCACACAGCAGGACAGAGCCCTGAATTGAACAAATACTCTATTCCCCAGTCCTGGGTGCTCTCAAGAGCCTGCCTCAAATGTAACACTTCCTAATTGTGGATTTGTCTCCAAGTAGCTCAAAAGATCTAAAATACAAGGAGCTCACAACCCACCAAATAATGAGAATATGCTTCTAACCCTGCTCATTCACATTTGAGAGATCTTCAAGAACAAAACAAAGCCCAAAGCAGTGAAATACATTTTGCATAGTCAGAATAGGAGACTTCTGGTTATCGTTTACCTTTATTAAGTTTTGGAACTTTTTATTGCTTTGGAGCAGGTCTTTGTAATGGCTGACAGCTTCATTGTGTCCACAACAGAACACACCATATTTTTCTTTCATTCTCTCCCCATTTTCACCTGAAAACTGATTGGAAATAGAAGAATGAAAGACATGAATCATTCAGAGCAAACTAACCTCCACTATAAACTCCAGGTCTAATATAGTTTCTAAAACATTTATTTTAATTTCTTCTGTACCAGAAATGAGACATTTATGCAGTGTGACACGTGAGGGCTTGGAATACCACAAGATAACCAAATATTAAATGATGGTTGTAATGATGAGAATTTTTAAAAAGGATTTCTGGACTTCTGCACTTAAAAAGTCTGTGAACTGTAAAAGCTGAAGGGCAAAAAAAAAAAGGTAATGATATATGGTAGAAATTGTTGCAACCACTCCATGCCAGAATGGTGCTAAAACTGCAATGATTTCAAAGGGTCCTGACTAGAACTGCCATGATTCCAAAGGATCCTGACTGTATTTTTAAAAGATGAGAATGAAGAAGTTTGGCTTTATCTGAAGGAGAGCCAAATCTGGAATGGACACTAGGAATATATTATTTTACTCTTGGAACAGATGAAAAATAGAACCAAACAAGTCACATATCCCACAAGGCATATATATGCATGCTCAAAGAACATTTAATGACCATTTCATGTCACTTGTGACTAGAATTATTCCTGGGAGTCATGCTCCCCCATTAACTGGGAAGAGAACCATAAACCAGGATGAAACCAATCTTTGCATCACACAACTTCACCCTCACAGGAAGCTTTTTAGAAGCTTCATAATGTCAAGATCATTGGCAGGATTGAGTTCACACCTGTTTTACCAAGAGGTCTCCAATGTTCTGGATTATATAATTTCGGTCACTGCCCTCTTCCAAGGATTCCTTCCGTCTCTCCTTCAGCTGGAGCAGGAACTGCCCGTGCATCTCCAGCAGCTCATCCACACAGGGAAAGAGCTTGTTGATGACTGCATGTGAGAACTGCAGCTCCTCTCTCATGGCTCTGGAGTACACCTTCAGCATTATTTTCAGTGTCCTAACGTGGTGCATTTCAGTCTGCATTAGTTCTGGGCAAGGTGAAATACAGAAATAAAATCAAAGGTCATTTATATGCTGTGCAGTGAGCAGGGGGACAGAAGAGCAGGCTCTGAAAGCCACAATCATCTTCCTCACTACAGTCTTTGCATCACTCATGTGAAGCTCTTAAATTTGCCTTGCTAATGTCCCAAGCCAGCAGTGACTGACCCTACTTATTTAAGCACATCTCCCAGGGGCAGCTGGGCTGTTCCCCAATTGTACAGCTGGGATTTGCTGCCTACAGAGCCCTGCTGAAACCCATGGCATGCTTAAAGGCACTCACACAAGGAATTACACACATTAATGCAGGTAACAGACTCAAAAACCTTCACTCAGTTTTAGTTTTCAAGCACAAGTCAAAATGGGAACCAACAAAAATGATTTCTGCTTTGTATCACAACAGTGGGCACTATGAAACAGAAAAAGCTTTAAGAATAACAAATACTCTTACCATAAATGACATCTTGCCTTTTGATAACATCTTTCCTTTGCCTTTTTGCATAAGGCTGTTCCACTGCAAGACTCCAAGACTCTGCCTCAAACTCATGAGCATCTGTTTCTATTTCACTCCGGAGGGACACAGAATATGCATCTAGACCAAAAGCACATTAAATTTCAATTATTATTCAACTGTTTCTCACCATATCTCTGTTTACCATCAGTAACAACAAGGGGAAAAACACCTCAATGCTGCTCTCAAACCCATGGGAGAAGTTGCATAACAATCCTGAAAAGCACAGAAATTCCATACCTTCCAGAAAAATGGAGTCTGTTGTTGAAGGTGCAAGCGAGATAACGTCATCTGAAGTCTGCTTAAATTTTACAAAGCCTGAATCCCCTTCATCCATGTCTCCTGAAATTAGCCTAAATGGCCAAAAAAATTAGACCAGAACAATTAAAATAAAATTTAAAAAATCCAACTTCTTCGACAAGCATCTTCCCTAAACTACAGTGCAATTATCTTACAATAAATAAATAAAAGATATCACTGCACTCTTTAAACAGTGAAATTAATTTAGCAACTCCAACGCTGAAACACTGCAGTTTAATTAGAGCAGCATGAGCAAAGCTTGTAACTTCTGGTATGACAGTTTACAAGGACATCACCTGGTGACAAGCCACAGCCAGTTCAGAGTACAAAGGGCACTTTCACTGGGAAGGGAGTATAACTGGGGCACATCAAAAGTAAATAGCTACTTAAAACAGCAGATAGCCTTGAGTTTGCCTACTATTTTAATGAAGGTATTCAGCAATTTAAAACACTGCTGCCTCCTACACCAGCCAGCACCAGCCCAGCCTAGAATAGCTGAACTCGGAGGAGATCACTGAATTTCACAGCAGTTCTCAAGACAAATACATCCAGGACAGAAACACTCAAATACTGCACTATTTTACACAGTATCTTTTGTGACACAAGGCAGAGGGAGTAAAGGTAAAAAGAGAAGGAAAAAAAACTTTCAGAATTAAAAGCTCATGACGTGAATTCTCATTTTTCTTTCCACGCTGGGGAGGTGGGGGACATCTGAAGCCAGCGGATTAGAAGAGAAGCATTTTACTCACCCAAATTTGTTAACAGCTCCAGCAGTGTTCAGTGAAGGCTGGGAATGTCCCCTTTGGGCGATAGTCATCCCGAGGTTGCGGGACAGTGCTGGGGTGCCATCCGCTCCCAGGAGGAGACTTCGGGGCTGCTCCTTCAGAGAAGTGGCTAAAGAGGCAAAAATGGAATTGGTGCTCAGAAAATGAGGCGTGCACTGCAGCTCGCCTGCTCGCAGCCCTCGCTCGGAATGCGGCCGGAGAACTGACAGGATCTTGGATGTCAGGAGCTCGTTGTCCAAAAAAACATTCTCATTCCATTTTCTTGAAAAGGAACCACAAAAAGACAGCTCGGGGTGAGCTGGAATGGCATTGCTTCTGCCGCTGCTTTTTGAATTTGTATTCCCCATGCTCGCCACTGGCTGCCCTCAGACCTGGCACAGTAAAGTGGCCCCAGAGATGCTCTGTTTTTATACTACCTGTGATCCTTCTAGAAATGTAAAGCTGCCACTTAACTTACTGTATTGGCTAAATCAGCAGGTCTGAAGTGCAGGAAATTGGTCCCTACTGTGCCCATTTAGTGTGGAAATTGCAAAGTATCTTCTCCTTTAGTAAAACACCAGAACCTACACACAATTATTCACACCCCACCGTATAAGGGCACAGAACATTTCATGGCAAACAAGAAAAATCAGAGATCACAGAAAAAAAAACCCACAAGTTTTTTGCAATGCTTAATGCTCACAGCAATTTATATCTGCATGCACACACACTGCACATAATAGATACCTGAGCTAAATTTAATTTTAATACTGCAGCTTTTTAATGCTTTTTAAATCTAGACAGACTGTGAACTGGAAAGATATTTGAAACTTTAATCACTATTACACAATATGTGGGAGCCTGTAATAGACTTATAAAAAATGGATACAATTATTTAGTACTAATGTCTGTAATAAATGATAAGGAACGGGAGACAAAATACATCCTTTTAAAAAAGGAGCTTCAGGGGAGTCAAAGATGAAGACTCAGCCAGACAATCTTTAGAATTGATCCCTGCCAAGGTCTGTGGCTGCCCTTTTTCAGAGAGCTTTTAAGGACATGGGAGTGGGATCTCACAGATCCCTGGGCTCTGTCACTGCATGGACAGACCCAGCTCCTCTCCCAGCCCCAGGAGGCTGCTCCAGGACCAGGGGCTGCTGCTGGAGCAGCTCAAGGGGTCTCCAGTTCCCAGATAAAGCTTATGTATCACCTTCCTAGTAAAAACACTCATATCCACCCAGCCCTAAAAGTTCCCTTTTTTCAGCCTGCCCTCCTTGGTGTACCTTCACCAAGAATTCTCTCTTTCACTTCTGCCTTCTCAGTGAAGCACGGTTAAACCAAGGTATTTGTGGTTCTTGCCATGAAACAGGTTTTTCCACATTTTTTCATATCCCTGCTCTATACCTGCTTCTCTCTCATTTAATCTTCATTGACAGAGGAATTGTTTTGGGGCTGCAGGGAGGGTCTCATCAATGACATTTCATAGAAATTATATCACCACATCTTTTCCTGCTGGAAATATTTTTCCCAGAACCAGTTTGGGTTTGAAACCTCCTGGCTACAGTATGTTATCAGTCTAACAAACTGGGTAAACTGAGTCCTTTCCATCTCCAAAAGGAGACTAATTAAATATCTGAAAGATTTGCCCAGCCAGATTTCTTAAACAAAGACTTAATAACCAATGTCCCTGTGTTTCCATTTGGGGAAATATTGAAATTATTGGCCAGCAAGTTCTCTTTCTGTGCTCCTCAAGTCAGGAACATAAAGTTCTGTTACACAAGGACAGGCCAGTCCTAAAAATCTCAAGGGGACAGGGATGGGGACACACAACACAGTTTATACCTCTCTAAAAATGAATTTTTCTTTTACATTGAGACAACATCTTAGGGGTTTTTTTGCTGGCCACTGCAGTCTGCAGGGTTATGCTGTGGCTAACAACATACAATGCCCAGGCTATTAGCTGTTCCTTTAATTTCCAGCTCCTGCTTTTGTCCAAGGAAAATGAGTACAGGCTGCCTAGCAGAAGCTGCCTGGCCCACAAGCCATTTTCTGAGTTCAATTAGCACTGTCTGCACACTGCTGTGCCCACATCGATCGCTGCTCCCCTCACACACACCAGCCCTACAGACAACTTCTCCCATTTCCATCAGCCCTTGCTTCTTATTTTAGTCCCTGCACTTTCTCCTAAATGCACAGACCCATTCTGGGTAATGCAAGCAGCCACTTATCTCCATAACAATTATCTCCTGTGCTGCCTCTTGGGGAGAGTCATTTAATGAAGAGGAGACCTTGCAATGCAAATGGTACCTGAAAACACCCAGAGTGATGCTCAGACATCCAAGACAGCTGTGTCTGACACTCACCTCCTCTCTTAATGTAACAGCTTGTAAAATTAAAATGTCATTTAATACACCTGTGACTGGGATGGTCTTTTTCCAGGAGCAAAAAGATATTTCAAAGCCTGTGCTGCACAGATGCTTTTTCTTCTTGGTTTTTTTTTTTCCCTCCCAGATCCTTTTTCCTCATTTTGTTTCAACAAAGATTTATGTTTAGACCATTAGTGCTAGCTTGTCTTAGAGATTTCTAGCAACCACTAGCTGCAGGCAAGTTTTAAATAGACAATTATGAAAATCTGATGTAAAACAAAGTTCACAGTTCTAGTCTTTTCAGAGGCCAGAGAATAGACAATCAATGAAAAACGAGCTTATTGATCCCTTTTCACCATGATATTTTGAGGTTACACAGCAAGAAGGTATAAAGAAAAATAAAAAGATAAAAAGATAAAAACACACAGGAGATTGCTAGGAGCCTCTAAGCCATTCCCAATAGAAAAAAAAATGAAACCATCTTATTAAAAGAGACCTTCTCTATACTTCAATAACACACCGTGTATAGCCTTTAAAACATATTAAAGAAAAAAAAATGCAATTGAACAGATAAGCCTTGAGCACAGAAATCATTCTTTAGTACAAACCTGGGGAAATGCACTGGGGCGAACTTTGTGGAGATCCAGAAGGTCTGTGCTGCAAATCTTTCTGCTATAGCAAAAAATACAATATTTTACACATCCACACCAAACTTTCAGTGCAAAATGAATCAGATTTTTCCCATCCCATAGCATTAACTGTAAGTGAAGATGTTCACTGAGAATATAAAAGATTTAACACAATAACAGCTTTGATTTTTTCATGTGTCAGATGAATGACATAGAGACATTAACACTTTGTATTAAATTCCACAAAGTATAAATCAGGATGAAATAGAACCAAAACTGAAACTACAGCTGAATTAAAGCTATGATAATTAATGAATATAAAAGATTTAACACAATAACAGCTTTGATTTTTTCATGTGTCAGATGAATGACATAGAGACATTAACACTTTGTATTGAATTCCACAAAGTATAAATCAGGATGAAATAGAACCAAAACTGAAACTACAGCTGAATTAAAGCTATGATAATTAATTTATGAGATGAAAGCAACCCCTTCATGCTGACAGCCTTCACTTTGCTGTAGTTTAGTTTCTAGCAATATTGCCTAAACTAATCCAGCCACTTTCAACCAAAATTCAGATTGTACTGCATCCTTGGTAATCTTTGCTAAACTTTGTCCTTCTAGCAACACTAGGATATTAAAAACCACTGAGACACAAGTGATCAAAGATGCAAAGAAATTAAATAAATAAATAATGCAGGCTGTAACAAATGGCTTTTGGGGAGCTTCCCTTTGGGGTTCCCATTTCTGACTGAATTCTTCACCCCATTTTGTGCCACCACTCCCTCTCTGCTCTCTTCAGGAGTGGTTTGTCAGGGCTGATTCAAGCATGAAGTTTTGGGTGGTGGTGAGGAGTGGAAATGAAAGCAGCAGAGCAAGTGAAGTTTTTGGTTTAAAAGGAAAATTCACAACGCCCTGAGATGTTTAAAATGATATCTCAAAACCCCCACAAGAACATTTCTGCCCTCAGAAGAGTTACATTCCATATCACCAATGGCTGAACACACTTCCTCTAACCTCTAATTGCTCAGGTCTGAGCTGCTCTGCTCTCTCTTTTCCCCCCTCACAACTCCCTAATCTGCTATCAGCCTCTGAAATCATCAGCACTTGCAGGTTAAAACAAACTAAAACTCCCTCAAGTATTATTAGTTATAAGGAGGAGGAAATGATTTCCAAAACCAATACCAGAACAAAAAACCCAACAGATAGACATCTATGTGAAACAACCTTGACCTTACATGCAATCACAGGCACCATGGCGACAGAGATAAAAAAATAAACAGCATAGCAAGACCAAGTTCATCACAGTTCCCAAATGAAATCACTTATTCTGCATTTTCCAGCTTAGAAACAAAATGCAACTGTTACAATCAGATTCCCCACCACCCCTCATGCTCTTCCATCAGTTTTTTGAGAGGACAGAACATTTAAAGGTACCATATAATTCAATCATATTCCTCAAAAGGTTTGAGCACTCTTAGGGTTAGTCACAGTTTGGGACACAGGCAAAGGACTTCACAGTATAGCAGTAAAATGTTTCACTTTAATTTCCCTCCACACTCTATCATTAATTACTATAATAACAAGTTAATAACTACTCAATGCCTCAAAGATGTAGGGCAAGATCCTGTACTGATGTAAATTAAAACATTGACAGAATTAAATTTATCATGTCAAGCCTCGTCATTATAAAAGAATAAATGTTAAAGCCCACCTTGGGTCTGATGCTGCTGCATTCAGTCAGCAAATTCTTGCAGTTCTTGTGGACATTCACTGCACAATCTGCAATGCACACACACAAAATAAAGTCTTAATTATTCTTCTTTCCTGTCTAGGGAAAGGAATAATGGCACACATAGGATCTTAATTCTGGAAGAGGTGCAGAGTAAGCTCAGGTGTTGTGGCAAGCATCCTTGCTGTGCATGCTCTGCTCTGGATTTTACACCAAACCCTTGAGTTTTTTCACTGAGACTGCAGCACTGAGTGCAATTCACACTTGCAAGAACCCAGAGGCACTCTGGAATGCAGGAGCAGGGTTCTGCCCCACCTCCACCCGGTGGAGCACAGCTTTCCTCATTTTGCCAAGCCCATTTCCATGTCTCTCCATCCAGAACCGATTCCAGTCAAGGGGGCAGCAATTCTTTGGCTCCACAGGAGTAGCTGCCTCTCTGCATGGACTGTTGCAGCAACTACAGTAAATTAAAGATACTTAAAGATAATTAAAGATCAAAACACCCTCCAGAATCATCAGAGCATTACCAGCACCACAGCATCACCACCCTTCCAGCTGCACAAAGGAATTGTTCCCAATACAAGGCACCAAAGCAGCCCTCTCGCCCAAAAGCCATAAAACTATTACTAGTATAATAAAATCCAATCTCCTTTTTTTTACCTCTTGATAACTACTTATTGAGAAAACAGGAAGGGAAACTGATAGTGCCAAATATTTTCTGCAGCATTTCTGCCCATCTATAAAACAAGCCTTCATCAAAAACAAAGCAGGACACCAACAACACAGCAAAGGACACCAGGATTTGCCTTTTCCAGGCACCAAACTCAGTAAAGGACACCAGGATTTGCCTTTTCCAGACACCAAACTCAGTAAAAGACACCAGGATTTGCCTTTTCCAGACACCAACAACTCAGTAAAGGACACCAGGATTTCCCTTCTCCAGACACAATCAGGAAACTGATAGTGCCAAATATTTTCTGCAGCATTTCTGCCCATCTATAAAACAAGATCTCTCATCAAAAGCAAAGCAGGACACCAAGAACTCAGTAAAGGGCACCAGAATTTGCCCTTTCCAGACACCAACAACTCAGTAAAGGACACCAGGATTTGCCTTTTCCAGATTTGCCTTTTCCAGACACATAGTGTTCTCTCTTTAAAAGAGAAAACTGGAAAGATGAACACCATATCTGCTAGAGAAAAGCCAGTTTATGTTTGAAGCACAGAGGAAAATCTATTTAAGGTCCTTTCAGAACTACCCCTGCCTGGCACCAGGACTGGGAATCTGCTTTAAGGCTCCTGGCTAACCTAGAGATGCTCATTTGTGTTTTCCATAATTTCAGCAAAAGCCAGAGAACAAGACCAAAATACCTACTTGGTTTTAAACACAAATAAATTAATAAAGATATAAAAACAAAACTGAGTGCACAGACCTGCAAGATGCTCACATGTTATACAAGTTCCCCAAGTGTGGGAAATGAAGTGCAGAGTTCTGCCACACACACAAAAAAAAACACCTCCACAAAAACTCCCACCTCCCACAACTTCTCTTATTTGGGATATTCCTATGCCACAAAGCAAAAGGCACCACATCTAATTTCAAATGTAGGAGAAAAAATGTATCAAAATTATCACTTATTAAAACTGTGTAGAGAATAACAAATATTTTCATTATTTCAGCAATGATAAGGCCTCCACCGACCACGAGGGAACATAGAGCTTGTAAAAAGACATGCCTCAACAACAAACAAGGAGCTGACAATGGAAATCCCTTTTCTCCTGAGACAAAGAAACGAACTGTGGGACAAAAATCACCACACAAAAGGAAATAGAGAAAATTCTCCATGACGTCAGGCTGGGTTGGCTCCAAGAGCTGCTCACAGATGGGTTCCCTTCAGGGCAGAACAGGAGCCCCATGGATGCCCCAGGTTCCTACAGCCACTGCCCTCCCACACAGCCCTGAAATCATAACTCATCTAGAATTCTTTAATATAATCATCTAGAAACATAAATTTCAACTAAATATTAATATTCCCCAACATTTACCCATTTTCAGTGATTACATTCAGTAATTGTTTTCCTATCCATGATTAGTAGGACCAATTCCACTTGAAAAGCTCGGGTTCCTTGTTAAGGTAACTGTAAAAAGGATCTCACTTAAAAACATATTTCAATTTTAAAATCATGCCCTTGCTCTGGATAACACAAGATAACAGCTTGTGGCACTCTCAGTAGGCATTTTTCACTTAATCAGCTGACATATCTAACAGGGCTGTGTATGACTTCCCTGCACTGCTGAAAGGTTCTTTACACAACAGTGCAGAACATGCTAGAAAACAGCAAAATGCTACAGAAAAGCTGCAGGAAACTGCAGCTGAATCCAAGGAGCTGATTCTCCCTGAGACTATTTGAAATGCATTTATTTAATGATTTCAAAGTGGCATTATTTTTGCCCACATAAGAGAAATCTGAAACCTGCCAGAAGACGGTTTTATAAACATATTTCATTTTCTAAAGCATGCTCCAGCTTCCTCTATTCAACATTTCTGCAGTGCTGAAGGGAGGCCACTCTAATTCAGGATGAGGAGCTTCTGAATACCAGTGGCTGTGGTTTGCTTTTAATGCATGTAAGATTTCTGCATTTATTATTATTACTTTGCATTCATGATTATTACTTTGCATTCTTATTAAGCCTCTCTGAAAATGGTATCAGAGAACTGCAGGGGTGAAAGAAACAGCAAAGAGAAGAATGAGGGACAGCAAAAAAGGGGCAGGAACCTGCACACATGGAGGTAAGAGCAAAAATACACACAAAGGGTTGTTTGCAGGTGTAGAGAAATAGCAGATTTCTATCTTTTCCAGTCATCCAGAGTAAAGCAGCATCAGTAAACTCAAACTGACAAAAAAAATTATTTTTGCATTTACCATCGGTAGTATTTGGTCTTATTCAGATCAAGAATATGGGAAGGTCCAAAATAAAGAAAAGAAAAATAAAAAAGAACAGTTCTGTCAGCAAGCTCTTTCCAAATGGGAGAGGCACAGAAGATATTCCTGAGAAAGGCAGAGATAAAACCTCAGAGCACTGCAGCCAGGCTCCTCCTTGTCTTCTCCTCTCTCACCCACTCACAGAACAGCAAGAAGATGAATTTGGCAGGGAAAAACAGCCCCTCCAAAGGAAGGATTTCATCTTGAGACAGACTGTGCAGAAGGGCTGCAGCTCTGGCCAGTGCTGCCAACACCAAAGTGCCAACACACTGAAAGGGTCCAAGGATTTGGGTCACCTTGACTGGATGGGGACAGGAGCACCACTGCCACACCTGAACCCCACAGGGTGGAAACTCAGCAAACCCACCAGGTTTGTTCCTGGGCTTTAATCAGCAGGTTTGGAATCAAGGCTGAGAATTTTGGGAGCATCCCATTATCCCAGATCTGCAGACTACAGGGGCTGACACTCACACTCACTTAAGCATTTTGCAGGGGTCTGTGCCAAAAATGACATAATGAGTGACTAAAGCAAGGACCAACCAGAAAAGAAATATTTAAGACTAAAAGGCTCATAAACATCAGAAAAGATCCTGTTCATGGTTGAGGGTAATGAATTTATAATGTGGTATAATAAAAAGCATTTCCCTTATTAATGAGATGTTTTCCCCATGGCTCACAGAGAGTAATTTACAGCTTAGGAGCATTTTATTGGCCATTACAACACCCAAAAGCATCACCATATTCACAGTAGGAGAGGGCAACAAACCTGGCTGGAAAGGGGCAAGCAAAACCATATTTTCCCCCAGCTGGAATATCTTCCAGGGGATCAGACACTGCCAATGTCCTATAAATGTCTTCCAGAATTGGCTTCCAGGGCAAATCTATGACTCACCAGACATTATGAGCACTATGACCCTGACCTTTGGTCTGGAACGGTACTGCCCAATAAAATAACTCTTAAAAGACCATTTGCAAACAACAACTCACAGACAAAAATGCTGTGATTAATCTAAAATTCATCTATTGACTTTCTTTATCTCAAAGATTTTTTTTTTGTTTATTTTTTAAATGACAGATTAAAAACAAACCACTTTAAAGCAGCTAAGTTCAAACAGGGACAGACTTTAGGAGTGTTTCTAATGAACAAGGAGTTCAAGTATATTCACCACCTATGAAATCCAATCAGCTGAAAAGAGCCAAGGACAAAATAGCTTCCTTATGAAATTTTAGTAATTTTATTAATTACTTCCTTATGAATTAGTAATTTTAATTTTTTTTTTCCTCTTTTTAACTGACCAATGCTTCAGGGATCAAAAAGAATATCTTCCCTCCTTCCTCATCCTTACACCACACAGGGAACTCCTCCCTCTTGAACTGACAGAGGAAACAACCCTTATATGATATGAATGATTAACACTGAACATAATCAACTCAATTTATAAACAGAGATGCACAACACGACAGCCAAGAAACATCTCAAACCACCACAGCATTCCAGAAAATGCAGAGTGACTGGGATCAAACTTCTCAGGAAAGAGGAGGAGTTTCAGTGGAACACGAGGAAGTTTCTGTGTTGGGTAAATCCAGGTCAGGTACCCTGAGGAACTCAGAGCAGATTTAATTTTTGTCCAAGTGGCTCCAGTGGTCGGTGTTTACTTGTTTTCTCACTTGTCTAATATGCAGAGGCAGAAACCAAAAACTGGAAGGGTACAGGGAGATGAGATACTTCACATTCTGAAACAGAGACAGTCCACACCAGAGAGCAACAGCACTAAATTATCAAGTTTCAGCCTCCCTGTTAGAGCATTCCTCTTTGTCTCCAAAACAACCTATAATTACTTGCTCACTGTATCTGGTTTTATTGTCAAAATATCAGTCGGATGAAGCAGAGAGAGGGGTTCTGTGATTCCCGGCAGTGCAAATTCTGGTGGTCACAGGGTTTTCTTTAGGCACAGAAACACACAAACAACCGATACTTCTGTTTTTTAAACATTGCCAAGTAAAATGTGCATGTTATCCTAAAAGAAAGAGGAGTCTCAATTCAATTGTCTCACGCTGAACCCTTCCC